TTCTGGCTCCTGCAAGGGCAGCGACAGCAGCCCCACCCCAAGGTAACCCCATCACCCGTGGCCTCTGGGCTGGTGCCGCTGGGGCCGGTGGAGCGAGGCTGTGCCACGGCGGCTGCGGGGGCCGGAGCCGCTGCTGTGTCCCCATGACCCCCTCAACCCTCCTCCAAACCCCTCTGGTGTCATTGTGGTGTCTGCTCCCTCCCTGTCCCTCTGCCTGCCAGCTCAGCACCCGTCCCTTGCTCCCGCTGTGGCTTGCGCGCTGCACGCGTCCCTCCTGTGCTCTTTGGGACCGGAGCCGTGATGGGCAGGAGCTTCGTTCCCATCCCATTGTGCTGCCCGCTCTGCTCAGAGCTCTCGGTGTGCTCCGGGCATGAACACCCGGGCTCTGAGCTGTGGGATGGGCTCTGCTGCTCCTGCCTGGCCCCAAGAGCATCCCAGCTCCGAGATGGCATCAAATGTGGGAGGACAGGAGGGGCCTGAGGGTGCCCTGGTGATCGGAGCCCATGTGTGCTGCAGCAGGGAGCAGAGGCCATCCTGCTGCCTTGGGGAGCTGCAGGGCCATGGTCCTGCCTGGCTGCTCCTAGCGTGATGCTTATGTCTGTGGATGAAGGCTGCCACCATGCATAGGGCTTGAGCTCTCCTGCTCTGTGCACAGCGTCCCCACCACCCCGCTGCCATGCACAGAGCATCCCCACCACCCCGCAGCCATGCACAGAGCATCCTCACCACCCCGCTGCCATGCACAGAGCATCCCCACCACCCCGCTGCCATGCACAGAGCATCCCCATCACCCCACTGCCATGCACAGAGCATCCCCACCACCCCGCTGCCATGCACAGCATCCCCACCACCCCGCTGCCATGCACAGAGCATCCCCACCACCCCGCTGCCATGCACAGAGCATCCCCACCACCCCGCTACCATGCACAGAGCATCCCCACCACCCCGCTGCCATGCACAGAGCATCCCCATCACCCCACTGCCATGCACAGAGCATCCCCACCACCCCGCTGCCATGCACAGAGCATCCCCACCACCCCGCTGCCATGCACAGAGCATCCCCACCACCCCGCTGCCATGCACAGAGCATCCCCACCACCCTACTGCCATGCACAGAGCATCCCCACCACCCCGCTGCCATGCACAGAGCATCCCCACCACCCCGCTGCCATGCACAGAGCATCCCCACCACCCTGCTGCCATGCACAGAGCATCCCCACTGCCACACGCAGGGGCTTTGGGCCACCCTGCAGCAGTGCAGGAGCATCCTGTGCTCAGCTCTGCATCCCCCCAGCCCAGATGTGCAGCCCTTTCCTGGGCTTCAGGCCACAGGCACCACCTCATCCACCCCGATAGTGGCAAGAGGAGGGTCCAGATGTGCTGCTGGCCCAGCCCCAGGCAGATGCCTGATGCCCTGACTTGCTGTCCATGGGCAGCTCTGGACCCGCTCCATCCCAGTCCCATGACCCCCCTTCCACCTCCATCCCTGCCAGGGCAGATCCCATCCTGGGGTCTCCATCAGCATCTGCCACTCCTGGAGAGCTCATTTTGGGCACAGAGACCTCAGTGCTCGCCTGCTCCTGGCTCTCCTCATGCACCCACATGAAGCCTGCAGCTCTGCAGCCATGGGCAGCATCAGTGTGGTGGGAGACACCCACCCTGCCCCTCCTGCCCGCAGGGCTCCGTTGGGATGCTCCCAGCACCCCAAGAGCAGGCATCTCCCTTGGGACCCCTGCAGTGGGTGACTCGTGTGTCCCCGCAGGCGCTCGGCCAAGTACAACCTCTGCAGTGACAACCATGGGATAAAGCCACCGACACCGGAGCAGTACCTGACCCCGCTGCAGCAGAAGGAGGTGTGCATCCGGCACCTGAAAGCGCGCCTGAAGGACACACAGGAGCGGCTGCAGGACAGGTGAGGATGGGAGCAGAGGGCACGGGTCCTGGCATTGCCGCCTCCACCAGCATCTCCTGTATGGGACTGGGATGTTGATGCTCCTGGGCATTCCCAGTTCCCAGCACTGCAGCCTGGCCTTGGGCTCATGCCCTGGCACCGCGTTCACAGCCTCAGCCACGTGGGCATCCCCATCCAACTGGGATTTGGGGCCGCAGAGCCCTCAGCTCCCACCTGCAGTGGTTGCTCTGCCCCGTGCCCCTGGTTAAGTCTCTGCTGTATCTGAATGTCATCATCAGAGGGTGGTTAATCCCCATCTGCTCCTCTCGGGCTTAGGCACGTCCTCACTGGTGTGCCAGCTGCCACGCACCCACTGGGGCACCTACCAGAGCCCTGGGCTCTGCAGCATCGCTCCCAAGGGTCCCCGCGCCACTGGATCCATCCCTGGGTCCCAGTGATGCGTGTTCCTGGGTTGATGGGGTTCCAACTCAGTGCTGGGCTTATGAGGCCAGGGCTGGCCCCGCAGCCCGCTCAGCACCACGGCCGTGCCCTCCCCATCTCCCCCAGGGATGCTGAGATCGAGGACCTGAAGACGCAGCTCTCGCGGATGCAGGAGGACTGGATCGAGGAGGAATGCCACCGCGTGGAGGCCCAGCTGGCGCTGAAGGAGGCCCGCAAGGAGATCAAGCAGCTGAAGCAGGTCATCGACACGGTGAAGAACAACCTGCTGGAGAAGGACAAGGGGCTCCAGAAGTACTTCGTGGACATCAACATCCAGAACAAGAAGCTGGAGACGCTGCTGCACAGCATGGAGGTGGCGCAGAACGGGGCGCTGAAGGAGGAGGGGGCCGGCGAGTCGGCCGGGGGGTCCCCAGCGCGGTCCCTCACCCGCAGCTCCACCTACACCAAGCTGAGCGACCAGGGGGCCGGGGACCGCAATGTAGGGGGGTCACAAACCATCTCTGTGGACGAGGGGGCCGACAGCGGCTTCGTGGGCATGGAGGATGCTCCGGGACACACGGACCCGCTGGAGATGGGGGCTGAGCCCGGCCCCCGCCTGCCCCCCAGCTCCACCTACGAGAAGCTGCTGCGGGGCAGCGCGGAGGCCGGGGTGCAGGCGAGCTGCATGCAGGAGCGGGCCATCCAGACGGACTTGGTGCCCTGCCAGCCCGACCTGGACACCATCCTGGAGAAGGTGATGAAGTCCCAAGCCTGCAGCTTGGGCAGCCCCACCTCGGCCTGGGTGTCCGAGATGGAAGACACGATGCCCGTCCCCGAGCTCTCCAACCCCACCACGGACCTGCTGGTGCCCGAGCCCGACGCCGCGGTGATGGGGACCGGCGGCGAGGCGGGGCCCGTCCCTTGCCCCAACCCGGCCGTGCGGCAGCCCCCCAGCGCCTCGGTGGCCATCGCCTGCGCGGCCGAGGAGGAGCCGCCGGAGGTGCCCGCCTGCGAGGGGCCCCCGTCCAAGAGCTACTGGAGCCGGCACTTCATCGTGGATCTGCTGGCGGTGGTGGTGCCGGCCGTGCCCACCGTGGCCTGGCTGTGCCGCTCGCAGCGCCGGCAGGGCCAGCCCATCTACAACATCAGCTCCCTGCTGCGCGGCTGCTGCACCGTGGCCCTGCACTCCATCCGCAGGATGGGCTGTCGCCCCGTCGCCAGCCCCGGCGGCAGCGCCCAGCCCTGATCCAACCCCTCCAGAGCCCCCCCCCCGACCGCCCCCAAGGACCCGACCGCTGATTGTAAAGCCCCAGCGTGTCCCTGCTGCCTGCAGGGGTGCGGCCCTGGGGGTGGGAAGGGGATGGAGGGGGGCTGTGGGTGCGTTGGGGTGCGCTGTCAACCCGCCCCCCCCCCCCTTGCATCCTTTATCCTGGATGGGGGAAGGATGGTGCTGGGAGGGAGGTGCCAAGTGGCGCTGCGGGATGTGGCGCCTGCATCACCCTGCCCTATGGACCCTCTGCTGCCGGCTGGGGGAGGCTGCACCCATGGGTGGGCTCTTTCCGGTGGTCCTTGCCCTGCCCCACGCTGGTGATGGCGGGGGGGGGGTGTCTGGGGGTGCATTTCCTCCTCCGGATGCAGGGCGCACCAGGACGGTGACGTCTGGATGCGGGGGGACCTGCCCGGACACAGGGACCAGCGCTGGAGGTGGTGGAGCCCATGGGGCCTGCTGCCCTGCCCTGGTGTCCATCCTCCTCCCCTGGCCGGGATGGGGCCCCCCCATTGCACCCCTGAGCCAGGGGGAGCCCGGCTCCCTCCCTCCCCTGCTTTGCACTACATTCACTTTGGTTTGGGTACAGACTGGAGCCCAGCGTTGGGCTCCGGCCCCCATGGAGCTGGACCAGAGGCTCCGGTGGTTTTGGCGCTGGTGATCCCTGTGCTGGAGCTGGGGCTGCAGGGAGGGATGCGGGCTCCATCCCCATCCCCGCTTTGCCGGTGGGCTCTGGCACAACAAAATGCCTTGACTTTCCCTTTGGAGCAGCAGCGACAGCGACGATTGCTCAGCGGGGGCCTGCGGGGTGCAAGACTTGGGCTCCCCATGAATGTCAGTGGGTTCTTCGTGACTTGAACAGTGTTCCCCCCCCCAAACCCCACTCCGCCACCCACAGAGCGGCGATGCCCCACCAGCGGCGTTCCCATGGGACACACACCATGGCCTGTGTTCCCTGTGCTCCCCACGGCCCCGTTGTGGCTCTGCCGCGGTGGGGATGCAGCTCCCGGTGCCGGGTGATGGATGTGGGAGCCGATGGGGCGGGCGCTGGGGCATCCGCCTCCCGTGCAATGTGTTTGTGGCTGCGTGTTCGCCTCTGCCCGCCTGCCCAGAGCTTTGCCAAGAAATAAATGTAATGATTATATTTGAAAGACAAATCTATATTATATATTTTTTAAATACAGAACTGTCAAAACTGTAACCCCAAACCCCCCCCCCCCCCCATCCTGTACTCGCTGTCTGTTGGTGGATGTAATAAACGTCGCTGGGTCTGTGTCTGCTTTGGCTGGAGCCAGCCTTTGGCGTCTGCCCCAGGACACGGGGATGCGCATTCCCCATCCCTGCCGATGGGGAGGAGAGGACAGCACGGGCTGCAGGGGTGAGGGACTCCTTTGGGGTACCTCCAGCAGCGATGTCCTCACAGGTCAGGGATGGAGTGGTCCATGCTCGACTTCATCACCCCTGGGGAGAGCCTGGGCACAGGGAATGGGGTACTTAGTAGGGAGAGGCACCCTTGGGCACCCCAGTGGGGTTGGGGCGGGCCCCATGGCCCCATGGCCTCACCGTTTCACCATGTGCTCGTAGATCACAGTGGGGATGATGGTCAGTGTGACCACGTTCCCGGCCCCCGCCAGCACCTCCATGAGCTGCTTATCCTGTGGGAGAGAGCGGTGGGTCCATGGGGTGCCTCCATCCCATGGGATGCTCCTCACGGCACCGTGGCTCTGCAGCCCCTACCTTCATGCCGATGACGTTCTGGCCGTTCACCTCGCAGATGTAGTGATGGGTCAGGAGCCCGTTGCGGGCAGCGGAGCTGTTCTTGGCCAGGGACACGATTTTCCCCTTCTTCACCACGATGCCGACGTGGCCGGTGCTGTCCTTGTGCACAGTGACCGTGCGCTGGAACGGCCTGCGGGGAGAACCGGGATCAGCGCCGGGATCAGCACCGGGATCAGCGCCAATGGCACCAGCACCGGGATCAGCACCGACGGCACCAGCACCGGGATCAGCGCCAGGACCAGCACCGGGATCAGCGCCGGGACCAGCACCGGGATCAGCGCCGGGACCAGCACCGGGATCAGCGCCAATGGCACCAGCACCGGGAGCAGCACCGGGACCAGCACCGGGATCAGCACCAGGACCAGCACCGGGATCAGCACCACCGGCACCAGCACTCACCGGTCCCGCACCACCATCACGATCCTCTCGGGGTTCGCCTTCTTCAGCGCCCGCTGTGCCTTGGCGCTGCTCCAGCCCGCGCAGCTCCTCCCGTCCATCTGCAGGACCTGGTCCCCGAAGCGCAGCCCCACCAGCGCCGCTGGTGAATTGGCCTTCACCAGCTGCACGAAGATGCCCTGGGGACGGGGGGAGCGATGGCACCGCGCTGGCAGGTACCGTGCCATGGCCCACACTGGGCCGGGCTGCACTGGGTTGGCACAGGGTGCCCAGAGGAGCTGTGGCTGCCCCATCCCTGGCAGTGCTCAAGGCCAGGTTGGACACAGGGGCTTGGAGCAAGCTGCTCCAGTGGAAGGGGTTGGGGTTGGAACTGGAGGAGCTTTAAGGTCCCTTCATCCCAAACCAGTCTGAGTCTCTGGTCCCAGTCCCAAGCATAGCCTGACCCCCACCCTCGGGGACCCCAAACCATCAGCTCCAGGCCAAGCTGGAGGTGCAGGATCTCTGCCTGCATCCCTCTGTGCCTCTGCTGGTGGCATCCCATGTCCCTCAACGCCCCAGCTCAGAGCTGAGGGGCTCTCTGTGGCCCCCACGATACCCAGTGCTGATGGCCCCTGCCCACCGGTGCCGCAGGCTGTCACTGCAGGACTACAGCGGCACGGGTTGGAGCTGGATGAGCTTCAAGCTCCCTTCAACCCAACCCCTCTGTGATGCTGTGGTTCTCTGCTGTGCCATTTACCAGCACACATTGCCATGCCATGGTGCTCCGGGTCCCATCACATCCATGGGGCCGGGATGCCCCATCCCGTACCCAGCCCCGCCGCAGCCCAGCCCTCACCTGGTCCACGTTCTTGAGCTGCAGCCCCGTCTTGCCCCGCTCATCCTTGCAGAGGTGAATCTCCCTCACGCCCGGTTTGATCTCCGCACGCCGCAGCCCCGCGCTGCTCCCGCTCAGGGGGGCCACCACCGACCCCGGGGGGGGCCCGCTGGGGGTCAGGGCCTGCGATGGAGCCGGGGGTCAAGGGTGGGAGCGGCCCTCGGGGGATGCCGCATCCCAGGCCGGGGCAGGGGGAGCGCGCTGAGCAGCGATGCTGCGGCACGGGGGGCACCTACGGAGGCGCTGCCTTCCGGGAGCAGGTTCTTCTGGATCTCCTCGCTGCACAGAGCCAGCCCCATGTAGTTCTCCAGCTCGGCCAGGTCCGGGTACAGCACGGGCGGCGCTGCGGGGATACAGGGGGATGGCTCAGGGATGCTGGTTCCCAACCCATGGCCATTGCTCCCTGCCTGGGACCCCCGCAGCCTCCCTCCCCTGCCCATGCAGTGAGGTGTGAGGGCTCTCAGCTGAGCCCCCCCATAGTAACCATTGTTCCCCCCCCACCTCGGTAGCCCCCAGGCAGGGAGAGCCGGTCCCAACCCACGTTACCGGTGTCTGAGCTGAGCTTTGGCTTCTCCGTGACCACGGTCGTGGGGGGGGTCCTCACCCCGGCTGCTGCCTGCACCTGCAGAGAGATGGGGATTGCTTGGGGAGCTGCACCCCCAACCCTGGGGACCCTCCGATGGGGGGGCACCCATCGGGGCCAGCTCATCCCCCCCCCCAAAGCTGCTGCGCCAGCACTGACCTGCAGGAGCTGGTGGCCCTTCATGTCCTCGAGGGAGGGGTAAAGCGTCGCCATGGCTGCCGGGGCCGTGCCTGGGGATGGGGATGCAGGGATCAGGGATGGGGATGCAGGGATGAGATGGGGATGCAGGGATGAGGGATGGGGATGCAGGGATGAGCAATGGGGATGCAGGGATGCTGATGGGGATGCAGGGATGTCAATGGGGATGCAGGGATGCTGGGATGCAGGGATGGGGATGCAGGGATGGGGATGGGGATGCAGGGGGGATGGGGATGGGGGACGCAGGGATCGGGGATGGGGACGCAGGGATCGGGGATGGGGACGCAGGGATCGGGGATGGGGACGCAGGGATCGGGGATGGGGATGCAGGGGTCAGGGATGGGGATGCAGGGACCAGGGATGGGGACGCAGGGATCGGGATGGGGACGCAGGGATCAGGGATGGGGATGCAGGGATCAGGGATGGGGACGCAGGGATCAGGGATGGGGACGCAGGGATCAGGGATGGGGACGCAGGGATCAGGGATGGGGACGCAGGGATCAGGGATGGGGACGCAGGGATCAGGGATGGGGACGCAGGGATCAGGGATGGGGATGCAGGGATCAGGGATGGGGACGCAGGGATCGGGGATGGGGACGCAGGGATCAGGGATGGGAGCCTCTGTCCCGCCCGGCTCCGTGTGCCTGGTCCCGTGCGCCGAACACGGGCTCTCCCCACAGCCTCCGCAGTGACTCAGAGCCGGTTCACCGGGGCCATCACCTCCGCCCCTTCCTGGTGGCTGGGACACGGGCCCGGCACCACGGGCTCTGCTCCCCACATCCCCCTGTCCAATGGGGCCCAGCCCCAGCAGCGTGATGCCCCATGGAAACAGCCCCCTGAACCCCCCATCAGTCCCCTCTGCGCCCCCCACCCCGTGCCCACGGCAGGGCTGTGCCCCAAAGGACATCACCCACAGGGTGTGGGGGGTCAATCCTGACCCAGCTCTGAGCGCTGCAGAGCCCGGCTGCCCCTGGGGCACCCCCCCCCACACACCCACAGAGCATCCCATGGGAGCATCCCCCCAGAGCCCAGCCTGGAGCCCCGGACTCACCTGCAGCAGCTCCCGGCTCCCTCTGCCGCCCTCTGCCCGGCCCCAGGCTCTTATAGGGGTGCCCAGCCCAGGGAGGGGCCCGGCGCTCAGCTGACTGTGAGCCCAGGTAGGGCACAGGGGAGGAAGAGGAAGGTGGAGGCAAAGCAGCACAGGGATGGGGATGGGGATGGGGACAGGGATGGTATTCAGTGGGTTCGGGCATCCTGGGGGAGCAGGGATGGGGCTGTGGAACCCCATTCCCACTGCATCACCCATCCTGCCCACAGCAACAGCTCAGTGCCTCAGACCAAGGAACAAGGGTGACGTTGGGGGTTGTGCGTGTGAAGTGGGGTCCCAAGGGTGATGGTACCAGGGGGTGAAAGTGGGGTCCCCACCATGAGCATCCCCGAGCAGGGGCTGGCTCCTTGCTCCTGGGCACATGGTGCTGACGCAGCTGTGATGTGACACCGAGTCCCACACCCTTCCATCCATCACGTGCTGGGTGTGATGGCCCCGTGGGAGTCCTGATGGAGCAACCGAGTGAGTGTGGAGCTCACGGGATGCACACGGGCATCCCGCTGCCATGGGACATCATCCATGGGATCCAGCCCTCGGCATCCCGCTGCCATGGGACATCAGTGCATCACCTTGGGGTCCAGCCCTGCACATCCCATTGCCATGGGCATCACCCATGGGATCCAGCCCTTGGCATCCCACTGCCATGGGACATCATCCATGGGATCCAGCCCTCAGCATCCCACTGCCATGGGACATCACCCATGGGATCCAGCCCTCAGCATCCCACTGCCATGGGACATCACCCATGGGATCCAGCCCTCGGCATCCCACTGCCATGGGACATCACTGCATCACCTTGGGGTCCAGCCCTCGCATCCCGCTGCCATGGGACATCACCCATGGGGTCCAGCCCTGCACATCCCACTGCCATGGGACATCATCCATGGGATCCAGCCCTCAGCATCCCGCTGCCAGCACCAGGGATGCCAGCGCCGACCCTGTCCTCAGGAGCCGGGTCCCACGGGCATCCAGCCGCGCTCAGCACCAGTGGCACCAACCCAGGACGTGCCAGCAAGGGGCCAGCCCCGCCATGGAGCAGAGGCCGGGCACATCCCAGCTCCTCCATCGCCACGTGCGGGCCCTGGAGGATGTGCTCCATTCACTGCTGTTCTGTGAAGCCGGAGCAGGGGGGCTCCTGTCCCCAACCCCTCATCCCCATTGAACGGAGCTGGGAGGACCCCAAGGGCACTGGGCCTTGATTCCCAGCGGGAGCCATGGCACTGGCTCATACAGGAAAAGCTTTGGCACAAGAGAAACCCAAGCTGGCTGCCAGCTTCCAGCCAGGAGCGGTTGTGGTGAAGGGCAGGGCACGGTGGTGGTGCTGGTGCTGGTGCTGGTGATGGTGCTGGTGCTGGTAACGGTGATGGTGCTGGTGCTGGTGCTGGTGCCCCCCAGCTCCCTGTGCTGCTGAACAGAGCAGCAAGGGAGGGCAGTGCCCATGGCCACAAGGCCCCCATCCCTTGTGATGCTCTTTGAGCCCCGCTGCTCCCGAGCCCAATCCGGGTTTTCCATCATTAAACACAAACTTTGCTCCGGGCAAACCCGCTCCGGAGCTGCTGTTATCGATCCAAGGGAGCAAAGGCCTCATGGGGAGGGGTTGGGAGCTGGCACCCAGCAGCACCCCCATTGGGAGACACAGAACCGCCACCAGCAGCCGGGGAGCAGCACAGACCGGAGCTGGGGCACAGGAGCCCCACGGATGGGGAGGCCATGGAGGAAGGCACCAACACAACCAGATCCCGGCTGCTGGGGGTTCTGTGTCACCATTGCCGTGTCCAGGCCCCCAGGAAGGACCAAACCGAACGTGCAGGGATGGATCCATGCACTGCTGCGGAGCTGGAGGGACCCTGGAGCATCATCACCCATGCTCCGTGCTGAGTCACAGCCACGAGGGCGAGAGGCTGCGTGGATAGGTTATGGTGAGGCAATTGATGGTTCAGGTTCCAAGAGGCCTCCATCACCGCCCCATTGAGCCCAGGGCACCGCTTGGTGAGCCCAGGGCCAAGCACTGGAGCCTCACACCAGAGCCAGCCAGCACAACCAGAGGCAGAGCCCTCACTGCTGTTAGGGCATTGGGTGAGCCCAGCACGGCACCCGCACCACCAGGAGCCCACCATGGAGCCCTGGTACATGTTCTGCACCCCATAAGGCTGGCATGGAACCCTGGGATGGCACCCACAGCACCCATGAGCCCAGCACAGCACTCACAGCATCCTCTGATCCCAGCACGGCACTCATGAACCCTAGTACAGCACCCACAGCACCCCCAGCATCCTGTGATCCCAGCATGGTACTCATGAACTTGCCAGGAACCCTAGTACAGCACCCACAGCACCCCAGGAACCTGCCATGAACCCGCCATGAACCCGAGTACCGCACCCACAGCATCCTGTGATCCCAGCATGGTACCCACAGCACCCAGCACCCATGAGCCCAGCACAGCACTCACAGCATCCTGTGACCCCAGCACGGCACTCATGAACCTGCCATGAACCCGAGTACAGCATCCACAGGACCCATGAGCACAGCACAGCACCCCCAGCATCCTGTGATCCCAGCATGGTACCCCCAGCATCCTGTGATCCCAGCATGGTACCCACAGCACCCATGAGCCCAGCGCAGCACCCCCAGCATCCTGTGATCCCAGCACAGCATTCACAGCACCCGCAGCATCCTGTGATCCCAGCATGGTACCCACAGCACCCACAGCACCCAGCACCCGTGATCCCAGCACAGCACCCCCAGCACCCCATGGTCCTGGCACGACCGCCCCCCGCCGCGGTGCCGGCTCCCCCTGAGCCGAGCGAGAGCCCAAGGCGAGGGAAGAACGCGGAGGCCAGGGCGCTGAGAAAAGCCAGCACGAAGCGGTTTTATTGCAAGAGTAACGGTGGGTCTGGGTGGGTGCCTGCAGGGGCAGGGCTCTGAGCGCATCAGCAGGCAGGGGCAGGCAGGGGCAGGCAGGGGCAGGCAGGGGCAGGCGGGGGCAGCAGGGAGCCTGGCATGGGTGGGAGCGGGCAAGCGGCGATGACCAGCATCAGGCGGAGAACGGGACTGGTGCACCCGGAGCGGGCAGGACCGGGGTTGGTGCTTCCTCCCCAGGGGGACACAGAGAGGGTTGGGGGCGTCCCCATCACCTCCCCTGCAGGCAGCACCTTCCCTTTGCTCTCCTTTAAGCTCGGAGCGTTCAGGCTGCGGAGGAGCAGTGATGGAACCGCGCAGGAGGAAGGCTCACAGGGGATGGCCGAGGGAGCAGAGCATCCCCAGTGTCCCCTCCTGTCCCTCGCTGCACGCAGGGACCTAACACAATCCCAGCACTGTGCTCCCCGCATCCATTCGGCCTCGACAGCCTCCCTCTGCTATGGCTTTTGCAGCAGCAGCAGCAGCAATTTCTGGTTTGAAACCACCATGAGGTCTGCAGCACAATGAGGATCCACCAGGTTTCCTGGGGTTCAAATGACTCCTAGCTAAGGGCAGCCCCATCTGCGTGCTACGGGGATAAACGTGGGCTACACCCGGGACAAAATAAAGATGAACTTGACCCAAAAACAGGAGTTTTGAGGTTTACGGCGTAGAGTTTAAAAAGACATAAAACCACGATACAAGGAGGAAGAGTCAGACGCAAAGCTCAGTGACCAAAGGCATTCAATCGAGGTGGAAGGTTATACAGTGTGGAGTGGGCTATCGGGGAAAGCTCCGTACAAAGTCATGGGCACTCGTCTTGAAGCTGAGATTCTGGGTTCCTCCATGTGCCAAACCTGCTGGGAGAGAAGGGGAGCTCAGGAGCAGGCTCCGGGGATGGAGCTGCCATCCCAAAGGGCACTGAGATGGGAGGAGAAGGCAAGGAATAGGGCCCCATCCTGCCCACACTGCAGGACCCACAGATCCCAGAGCACAGATCCCATCCTGCCCACACCGCAGGACCCACAGACCCCAAAGCACAGCCCCATCCTGCCCACACTGCAGACCAGAGATCCCAGAGCACAGCCCCATCCTGCCCACACCGCAGGACCCACAGACCCCAAAGCACAGCCCCATCCTGCCCACACTGCAGGACCCACAGATCCCATCCTGCCCACACTACAGGACCCACAGACTCCATCCTGGCCACCCGGCAGGACCCCCAGCCCCCAGAGCACCCCAGAGCACAGACCCCATCCTGCCCACACCGCAGGACCCACAGACCCCAGAGCACAGCCCCATCCTGCCCACACCGCAGGACCCACAGATCCCAGAGCACAGCCCCATCCTGCCCACACTGCAGGACCCACAGACCCCAGAGCACAGCCCCATCCTGCCCACACTGCAGGACCCACAGACCCCAGAGCACAGCCCCATCCTGCCCACACCGCAGGACCCACAGCCCCCAGAGCACAGCCCCATCCTGCCCACACTGCAGGACCCACAGATCCCATCCTGCCCACACCGCAGGACCCACAGCCCCCATCCTGCCCCTGCACCACAGAACCCACACAGCAAGAGAAGCACAATGGAGTCAAGCCCAGAAGTGCAGCAACAGAACCCAAGGCCTGGTCAAGCAGCACTGCAGCACCTCCATGCCATAACCTGCTCTGCCAGGCTGGAACTGCTCGTGCCACCAGTGACCCCCAGCTCAGCAACCTCCTGAGGGCAACTTATACCTGCCCCCAGCTCCATCCCATCACCCCACTGCCCCCAGCTCCATCCCATCACCCCACTGCCCCCAGCTCCATCCCATCACCCCACTGCCCCCAGCTCCATCCCATCATCCCACCCCAGCACAAAAGATGGGTGCCCTGAGTCACCCCCCCCCCTTACCCGAGGCCAGGGTGCTGGGGTCATTCCAATTTCATGAGCTCCACGTCAAAAATGAGGGTGGCGTTGGGTGGGATGATGCCTGGGTGCCCGGTGGAGCCGTAGGCGTAATCTGGGGAGATGGTCATCTTTGCCCGCTGACCGACGCTCATCTGGGCAGGGGGAGAGACAGGGATGTCAGGAGATGGGGACAGTCACTGGGGAGTGAT